TATTTATTTAAATACATTTTCAGCTATCTTGTGTTATATAAGCTACGCCAGCAAATAGTCTATAAAATCTGTTTTCTATGACTCCAGCTACGGCTTGTGCCAAAAATGTTTTTCAAACAATTTAACAGCCAGCTCAGGCCAAATGTAATTTTGGGTTTTTCTTACCTTTATGTCGCTGCTGCTGCGCACGACAACATCCTGGCCAGCACTGTTGGTAGTAGCCGTCATTTGGCCATTGCTGGTAGCCACCAGATGCACATTAATGTCTGAGCCCACCAGATCGCCCTTACCTATACATATAAGTACACACATTGATATATATATATATATGTATAAAGATGCGTACAAAGGTGTGTTTAAAACAAAAGGTCAATCGCTAAGTTGGAATCAATAAGCATAAAAATAGCAAGCATTTGTCTAGGCAGCATCGTGAATGACTAAACAAGCAGCCAAAGCTGACAGCGTTAAAGCCAGCTGCGAAGCGAACGAACTTGCGAGTTCAATAAACGCTTGGCAAACCATCGAAAGCAAACAGCAACAACAAAATGGATAGAGTAAATGCAGATAAACCAAATGAAAACATGGCCATTTAGTCGAACGCGACTTGAACTTAAATATGCTCGAATGGAAGATATTGAAATTGACGAAAATTTCCTTACCCAAGATGGCAACAACCATGTCGTCCTTGATCACCTCCATGGAGCCATTGCATAGATAGTATATATTGTTGAGTGCATCGCCTTTGTGTATCAAGTATTCGCCGGGTGCGCAAAAGTTCGTCTTTATGTGCAGCGACAACAATTTCAAGCAGCCCTGCAAACAATAAAAGGTTCACGTAAATACCATTTGCTTACACTTTCAGTTTGAGTTTTGAGTTTGAGTTTTGAGTGATTTTTGAATTTGGTGCCCTGGGCAATGGCTTCGCGTTCTTCTTTCTCGTTTTTTTTTTTGCTTTGTTTTTTATCTCTTTGCATTGAGCTGGTCAAGAAGCAACAGGACACTGAAAACATCCAGCGGCAAGTTGCAATATTGGCCGTGTTGCTGTTTGGCGTTGCTGCCACTCCTGCTACTCCTGCTGCTGGAACGAAAAGTGGCTTAAAGCGCGCTTATTGCCGTTGAGTGGTTTCTGTTTGCCATCTGTGCATAAGCTTTATTAATGTTTGCACTTCGTATTGTCGCTTGTTTTATTTCACTATTTTATTCGCTGCCCGCATTTTGTTTACGTTTTGGCCAAGAGCTTTAAATTTAAGCGGCTTCAATGGAAAAATCAAAAAGCGCTAGGGTCACGCAACAATCCGTTAGAATTTTAGAATAATTGAAATTTCAGATATTTGCTGATTTTTTTGCATATTGTATTTCTTTTATAGAGTATTTATGAATCAAGTCTTTATGATCTTAGAGTTAATCTATATATAAGCATATTATTTTTTTGTAATATTAATTTTTACTTCCTTTCATATCTATACAGCTTGCGGCAAGCTTGAAGGTAAAGGTGAAAGATTAAAGGCAAAAGGCTAAAGACAAGAGAGTAAATAACTCTAGGCAAGGCAAATATATTTATAGAATTTTTCATTTAATACTTATTCATATTTAAATTAACGTTACTTTTCATTTTATTTATTTTCGATTTTTCTCTGTAATTTAAGAGCATAATAAAAAAAAATATTATATGATTCTCATTAATACATCTATATTATACAGCTTGAAAAGTAGACCATAAATGAATAACAATTTAT